TAAAACTCTGATAGCGACAACTGATCAGCCTCCGTTCATTGAAAACCATGTAAATCCCATCCCCCATCCCCCTCCCCCCTCAAAACAAAACAAAAAAACAAAAAAAAAAAAGAAGGAAGATGAATCGTCCCTCCCCCGGTGATAAATAAAGTGTCTGGTCTCTAAAACTCTTCACATAACTAAATTTTGGTAGTCTGGTGCTTATTTATTCCAAATTGAACTCGAATCATGTGATTACCTCTACAAATTCAATTTGGTTAGCGTCTAGTTGACTTTGATTGCCTCAGCAATAGATGTAGCGCCGGCTTCACTCATACCATTGTCAGACAAATCCAAATTGGTTTAGCGTCTCGTTGACTTTGATGGCCTCAGCAATAGATGTAGCACCAGCACCACCAATACCATTGTAATACAAATTCAAATTGGTCAGATTCAAACAAGTTCCAAAAGACTTTGCTAACCGTGAGTGAAAATCACTCAGTGTCTTTTACATTCGTTAATGGCCTCTAATACAACTTTTCAACCACTGCCTTCATTTTCGTTCATTTGCTAAACTCTTTACGAGAGCCACGACTTGTTCATCGCATTTCATGGCTAAAATTCCGCACGAAAACAAAAGTACCTCTTCAAGTTTAACAAAGTACCTTGGATCGGAAACTAGTTCGTCAGGTCTAATTTCCTTGCTTTGAATCTGAGCACAAATGAAGAATACTGCAAAGAATTCTTGAAAAAATTTACGCAAGAAATCCAAATTCAGTCAACTCTTTTGCATGGTTTCCCAACTGAGTTTCATTAAAATCCAATTTGTCGTTAAGTAAACCATTCAACGCTACCAACCCGAGGCGATTCAATTGCGGTTTGTAAAGATCTGTCCGGTCTTCCCTTCTTTTTTCTATATCTTCTCAAGACACATTCAACCATATCCAAGTACAGTTGAGCTAAAGCGTGCCTTTCCTTAAAGTACTTGGTGACAAATCCTCTCACATGGTGTTTAGTAAATCCTTAGATTTGAAGCAGCGCGTCACAGCATTTTCTCACCTCTTTTACAGCTTCGTGTCAAGCTGTTGCAACTATGTGGCATCTGGGGAGTAATCTTCCATCAATTAATTCGGAAAAATCGACAATTTACTGAATGGTAACCCATCCAATCCATCCAATATCAATAAAATGATATTGTTGTTTGACTTCTTCATCGATGTCTCGGGGCAGAAGCTGCTCATCAATGACTTCCCAAACATCAGAATGGATGTCTGGACATTTAAGCAACAATACTGCTTTGAATGCTGTGGAGCCGCAGCCCTGAGGTGCTTGCCTTTTGGTGGCCTAGTCGTAGGCGTACTTTTTACAGTAGGTGGTTTTTCTCATACCAGGTTCTCCTTCAATCAACACTGTTCTCGGCGCTGAACACTCTTCATACGGGTCTAGTATTGACGACATGTCAACAAATACGTCAGTGATTTCTCCTCTCGTTTTCTTTCTTCTGACCACTTTGAGCCTTGTAAAAATATTGCCAAGAAAAAACTGAAACTCTTCTCACCATGGAAACGGTGAGAGCCATCCCTCGCGAGTCTTGTACAGCTGGCGAATTTCATTGATAAGCTCAGTTGGATCAAAAATACCTAGCAGTAGTAAAATGAGTAAGAAATCTAATGAATGCAGCATTACGAGTAAGAATCACATATCAGTAATCATATGCTTGCAATATGCAGGAAGTTTACCTCCATGGACATAGTTAATCGAGCTGGCTTGCCACAAGTCTACTGTATGTAAGTGTTAGAGTGTCTGAAGTAATGAACGGAAGGTGGTAGGTTTGAGTCCCAACAGAATAAAAGTCGTACGCACTCACTAACCATTTCTAGTGTTCTTATTGGTTCTCTCAATTTAGGTTATATGAAAATGATTTATCTAAGTGTCGCTCAGCTAAATCTATTTTTGGCTGGAAGCAATTACTTCTTTTTATACATTGGAAATTAACCAAAGCAAATGCTAGTCAACGTCATATTGGTAACAAAAAGTGAAAGTCAAAAAGTTTAATGTAACTTGATTAAATGGGACTTAAATTTTAAGTTTAACTTACAGCACTAGCCTCAGGTCAACGCTTTATGGTCAAGAAAAGGTATAACGTTGTCACAACAGAAAGAACAACCGGTTACCTTAAAAATTCCATTATAGGAATTACAGAATTTGTGTCGAAATATCTACGCTTTAACAGGATCTTTCATTACAAAAACTCAACTTCGACTGCGGGTCTGTTTAAGCAACCATAATACTGGTTTCTCCGTTCGCTACCACGCAGCAAAACATTTGAACATTAGGGTATAACGTTTTACTGATTTAACCAAATGTTTGTCTCAGTGGGAATATAACTCTTAACTCGTACACTCAAAGCGTGAAATTGAGGTCAGGATATTGAAACGAAAGCTATCCTCGATCGCAAGCTTTACTCTGTTCCAGTTAAACAAAACACTAAATCAACCTGTTCACAAAATTTTTCGCTTGCCTATAAGTTGGAACTCAAAGACGCCTGATTGCTTGTCTAGTAAGTATTGTATGTCGTACCCTTAAACGTTTCTTCGATCGTAGATTAATGTATTTTGTGTACAGCTGAATAAACTGCTTGCGTTGAATTTTCATTCAGCTTCGGACGTAGCTTAACTGTTGCTTATGTGATTCAAGTTTTGCCGTTTTGACGATCAGATATGATATTGACTTCAGGTGGCTTTAATTTGAAGAAAAATTGAGAGTTAAAACGGATTACCAAAAAGTGAAAAAATTTAATAACTCATTGATTCCATTCGCTCTTGTTTCTGACTTTAATTGAAATTTTGATGTCTGGAAAAGCCAAAGAAGTGTCGGGAATTTCCCAGGTATATTTCAGAGCCAGGCGAAATGAATTGATAACGGTTATTAATTGAGTCAGTTCATCCCTGGTAGAGGAAGTGGCGCTGATACAGTCGTCGATGTAGCGACCGTAGAGTTCAGGTTTGGGGCCGTTGTATTGACTGAAAAATTGATGTTCGATAAAACCTACGAAACAATTGGCGTAGCTGGGTCCCATTTTGCTTTATTAAAAGCAATTAACTTTTCTACCCCGCATTTTTTACCCCATGGCTCAGGTGTCATCTTTCCTTGAATGTTTTCTTCAATACACCCATTTCATTTACATAACGATAAAGCAAAAAGACCAGAGTGTCTATTAAGAAGCTTTTAACAAATCATATTTTATTCCAGCGTCAATCTGAACTACATATTAACCTAACAATTTTTTTCTGCTTCGTGAAGCCTCTGAGTTTGGGTTTGTGTTTGGGTTTGGGTTCGATCAAATTCTTGATCCACATATTTTTTTAAACACGTGGAATTCAACGTCTCCCTTTTACTTTCTTTGGCTACACAGGTTTTCTGAAGGGGTCAATTTTTTAAATCCAATTGACAGAATGAACCGACAGGAATCTAGAGGTAACATTTCATCTGTACAAGCTCATTGGTCAAGTCGTGCGGTAAATTATTCCATAGGTTCCTGTTTCTGACTTGTTGGATACGAGATTGGTATAGCCAGTTCATATCAGGCGCGGGCTCATGGAACAACTGTTAAATATAGTGCACATATTATAATAAGTATATACAGTAATTGTACGAAAGACAAAGGTTCTTTGATTACGGCTTACGTCCATTTCTTAGGCAAGACCACTGAATTAAAAAAAATGCGGGGACTTCGATTCATTAACCGGTTCTAGGCGTTCATTTAGTAAAACAGAACGAAATAAATGAACTGTGCGATAGTACCAACAAAACAGTACGCGACCCGACCCACCCCTGGCCCGTTTTTTCACTCGGCTGCTATCATCGCATCATTTACCATAATTACACTTTGCATTTGCAGGAATTGTACGTGAAAAGTTAAGTGGTTTTTTCAAAGACAATACTCTGGACGCCAGTAATAGCAATGTACACTGTATGTCCCGTTACAAATCCATTTATTTCCTCTTTCACGACAAAGCGCAGTTTACGTGACGATAACTACCAATAATTCCCAGAGCACTAACTATTGTTGACTGTTCAAAATTGTATGGTCAGCACCCGTTCTCATTATTTTTTTTTTATCCTCTCCAGGCTACTCGAGAGAGCACTAATGATTTGATAAACATCTCCAGGGGTAAAACCTGTGCATTTTAATGAATAGGTGTTAAAATATTATCACACTTTCGCGACATGCTCCTGATTGTGGCGACAAATCCTAGGAGATAAAGTTATTTACCTGCATAAATCAGATCTTAAAATTTAGCTTCTTTTGGTCTTACCATACCATGTATTTCACAATTTCTCTACATTTCGTTTCCCGCAGAAAAGTTAGGAAAAAGTCATTTCCCTCTGGGCAAAAATCTTCAAAATTTTATAAACAATTTTCAGCAAATTCATCTCTCAAAGCTAAGACGATTGCACAAGTAATGTGCCAAGTATAATTTTTATTAGGATAGGGCTAATTTTTAATTAATAATACTTTCAGTGTAAAAGTATTTCGAGTTAGTATCGCAGGTAGATGCGGTCTTAGGGAAAGCAGTTTATGCGCCGGATAGCTTTCCTAAAACCAAGCGGGTTTTGCGGCAAAACAATTTTTTAGCAATTTACTAAAACTGCAGACAACTACGGCACACAGAACGAGATCTCATCAATCTAGTTAATTGGATATTTTCCGCACTATCCTGCCTTTCAGAATTGAGTCAGAAAATAAACTGAACTCCAACGCTTGTGTCGAGCATGCGTGTAAGTGCTAAACATGTTAAAGAGAAAATGAGAGTATACTTTATCGGTAAACTGATAAAAGCGTTACAGCGTTTAAGAATATAAAATCAATTGAGTTATAACGTTCCAGCCTAATCGCTTCACACAAAATGGCTTTTTCTACCAAGTAAGCGTGTGAGGAAAAGGTGATTCAGCCCTGAAACTTGTTGTGGCAAAGTGTTCAAACTGTTAGCCGGTCATATACCGCGGATTCTATCTAGCTACACTATTAAATCCTCGACGTTTGCATACAACTGCTTGTCGTACATAGTCATGTTGATCAGCTTCTGCAAAAAAGAATAATATAATAATCAGCATCATTAAAAAAGTGTTCCTCTTACGTTATAAGCGTTTGTCCTCACAAGTGGCCAGTTTTTCACACCAAAACAAATTCAAGAAAGTATTTTATGGTGACGTCTGCAACTCTTTGTGCGTCTCAATACAATTTTGCAATAATCCTACGATCTTTTAAATAACCATAATGAGTCAATTGTCGTTGGGACATTCTAGTTCGCTTCCTCCTTGTTTTTCGTGTAGTGCTAGCTTCAGTGACATAACAAGAAGATGCAATCCCAACTTCGTAAAAATTACGCTATCTAAGCTAAACGCTATTAAGTTTAAAACCCTATTTAGCTGAGCCTAAGCCAGTCGGTCTAACGTGAAAAGAAACTTTCATGTTGATCAAAATTCTCACCTTGTGTAGGGTTTCCATGTCCTTAAGCTGATTTTTCAATTCAGTAAAAGTTGGTCTTGCATCTGGGTCATTCTTCCAGCATTTCATCATAATCTGATACCTGGTATTGTTCAAATGATCTTTTAGAGAACGCGAAGTGAACGTTTCCTTGTAGGGTAAGAGAGAACGAATTGAAAAAGCACTTACAATTCTTCATCGACGTGTTGTGGTTTAGGCATCCTGTATCCATCCTGAAGTAAGTTTGCAATTTTTCTGCCATCCATTCGTGGGTAAGGTGAACCACCTGGAAGAACCACAAGACCATCGAAATATAAATGTGACGAAAAAACGACCTTCACTGAAACACCACCCATGTCATTTGATGTAGTTTGAAGCTCATTACGTTTGTCTAACTGAACACGTTACATTGCTTAATTGAACATGGTATATAGCAAAAAACATCTACAGGGTCTTATAAATCTCCATTCGATGTTACCTATGGTAAAAATCTCGTACAGCAAAACTCCATAACTCCATCTGCAGAAAGACAAATCAAACAAATATATATTGGGTGACTGAAGACATTAACATTTTATACGACAACTAAAATATATGTATTCTTTTACAAAGCATAGAATTCATTTCCTGATTAAAACTGATAAAACTTCGAGAAAGATGTTTTTCGTCTTGTCACGATTGTGGGACGAAGGAAAAATTTTGAGTCCCCACGAGGAATTGAACCTCGGACCTTTGGATTCCGCGCTCCGATTCTCTCTCTTGTTTTTATTTACAAACATGACTCTATCGACATTGCTGATCCTTGCAGTATGCAGGACGCGTGTCATATGAACTAAGTAATAGATCTAACTCACAGTGGTATGAGCATCGGAGCGCGGAATCCGATGGTCTGAGGTTCGATTCCTCATGGGGAGCGAAGATATTTTCATTGTCCAACGCTCGTGAGAGGATGAAAAACATCTTTCTCTATTTCTTTACCGAGCCCAAAACTTACCCTCCCTCTTATTCTATTGGTAAAACTTGTTGGAAAATTGCTACGGGTAATAATCAGGTATACTTACACATCACTTTTGGTGGTATATTTACCATACATCAAGGCCTCATAAGCTGTCCACTTCACTGGAAGACGGCCCTAAAGATTTCAAATATCACTTTTTTGAAACAGCTAAAAAATTATAGGAGGCGACCAGTCAAAGACAGTGATATTTAAAATTATAATCGTATACGAATGGCTGTTTTCATTATGGTCCCATCCAAGGATTTTGTAATCGAAATCAGGAGTATATCGGCTCTACCACAACAATGATCGTGAAAGATCAGTAAACTGAACGATATGTAGTACCGTCCCCACCTCCCCTCTTTCTTGATTACCTTAGTCTTTCGTTCATAAATATTTTCCTGCTGCACATCTCTGGCCATTCCGAAGTCTGTCACTTTACAAGTTTCCTTTCGTCCAACCAACACATTACGGGCCGCAAGGTCTCGGTGAATGATCTAAGAACGCATTGATTCGAGAGCAAAAATTAGCGATTCCAGAAGAAAAAGAACTGGAATGAAATGATTCAGATAGGAAAATAGAAATATCCAGCGACATAATATGGTGTGTGTATTTCTCTTTCTTCCAGATGGCAGAAAATTAAAATTACTATAATTACTGCTCCATGTTCCAAAGAGAAGCAAACTACTTTATTTCTGTAATACCTGGTTTTTTCATAGATAGCTTATCTTAAGATTTTATTCGAAATAGGATTCTGTAATGTAGCAGTTTAGCAACCAAAGACGAATTTTTGAATTTCAAGTTTTAAGAAGCGATCTCTGTAAGAACGGTCCAGGGCATTTCGCATCGGAAAAAAGTTTTCCCTCAAACTTTGCCCAATAAACTATCTTTGGTAACAAATAAATAAAACCACATTAGTTTCCGGAAATACGTCGAAATAAAATTTTTAGAGCTCTCAAAAGTCAAAGCTGCAAAAGGCCCTTTTTTGACCTCTTGCGACTTCGAAAATTTCAAAAGTTGAATAGCCCGGTCTTCGTATCACACCGCATGCAGCAAAAAATATTCTGTATTCTTAAAGTGTGTGATATATAAGGTGTATAAAATGCATTTCAATTTTGATATTCGTTTATTCAGAGGCTCGTCATAATTTATTTAAAAACACTCGTTGGATAGCTTTCTGAAATTGGTTAAAAGTACTCTTTCTTTCTTGGTTGATATTGCTCAAGTCCAGACCAGAACATTAAAAACTCCGCTTAATTTCTATTGATAAGATGTTTGGCTGCAGAAAAAAATAAAAACATCTCGCACTTATTGATTTTCTTCGCCGAGGTGACTTCGAACTTTTAGCGATATTGCTAGCGTGACAGCCGATTATGCAAATTAGTTCATTGAGCAAACTCCGACCGTTTTACATGGGTAACTCAGTAAATCTTAGATTTTAACCATTTTAAGTAGGCAATATAGTAGAAAATATAGTGGAGAGAGCTTTAATACCACACCGATTAATACCTTAAACATTTCAAAAGGCCAAAATTTGACATATTTTATTATCTCGTGACGAAAGACGTCAACAACAACGTATCGAATATCATAATTTTGATTAGCGCTCGCAAACCCCTTTTTAAAAATTTGGCTTCTGTTATTTCATATTTGAGTTCTGATGGCTTACGCTATTGAAACCTGTATGAACATTTCAAAACCAAACTACAGGATTCTATCTAGTGTAACCGGCGATAACAGCACACACTGAAATACACCGTGACCACTGTCACATAATTCAATTGTGTAATTATCCTGAATTGCCTTTTGGATCAGAATTCTGGTCGGCAGGAATAGGAAAAATTTTGTCTGCACACCTGTCTTTATGAAAGTTTCTATTCAGAACTCTAGGGAGTACTTGTGGAAAAGGACCCCGCGATTTTTGAGGAAATAAATTATTACGTTACGTGTCACCTAATTTTTCCAACAATTAGCTATATCTATATTGTAAAGCGCGTAATTTTATTAGCTGTAATTCTTATGTCTCTTTCGGTACTGGTTTGCTTGGGATTAATAACGCTAAATTCTTGAAGCGGTATTCGCCACAAGAAGTTCTGTTTTCAGTCGCGTTCCTCAGAAACTTCGTTCGGAGACTCACGAGGAGTTTCCGGTTTGTTTAACTTGCCACAGAGTACTGACTCAATACAGAGTCATCTCTGCTTAATCTATTTGTCAAAAGAGAGTTTCACAGAAGGAGAGCTTATCTTTGCAAGGGCTGGCCTGTTCGATATAGAAGACTCAGTTATGACAAAAAGTGGGTCTGCGCAAAGCATAGGCACACTTATGGGAAGTTCTGGCCCCAAAGTTCAGCGTGCCAGTTTCCGACACACCCTGGTAGCGATTCCAAAGGGGTAAAGAGCCGGTATTCTGTCAATTTGCAAATTTCAAAGGCCATTTCTAAAATGTTTGGCGTTCTATAGAGGTTTAGACGATACTGCAGCTGAGGGAGCGGATGGTAGCGAGGATTTTCTCCAAATTATAGACGAATTGGAAAGCGTGGTAGCAGAAAAGGACTAGTGTAAAGAAGTTCGGAAGAGGCTTCAGGAGAGTAAGTTGTATCTGAAGACTACATACCTTAATCACTGCGAAGAGGACGATAGCAAATGTGCCGATCACTGTAGGGTCTTTGCACTGAGCCATGCTAGTAACACTGACGTTCAGAAAGTATGCAGTCACAACGTGAAGTGTGAGGATTGTGAGAAGCTGAAGAGTGTTCTTGAAGAAGTAAATGGCGGTATTTCTGAGTACACAATGCAGTTGGGTAGGTTTCAAGCGGAAGACTATTTGTATGAAGCAAAAAATGCTGCCGCTAAGATCTTTGAATGGAGAGGGCATATCCTGAGAGCAGAAACCAGGATCAGTGCCAGCGGAAAATTGTCGATACTTTGGAGTGAGATGAAGCATTTATAATAGTTGACTGGACAATGAAGTTCATAGCGATGAAGTTCCGAGAAAAGCAAGCAGAATGGTTTCCCAAGAGGGAAATCAATTGGCATGTGAGTAGCGTTGTTGTAAGACAGGAGGAAAGCCTGGAAGTAACCTGATACGTACACCTTCTTAACAGCTGTAAAAAAGATTGGTTTTCAGTGCTGTCAGTCCTAGAAAATCTCTTTGTCACCATAAAGTTACGAAATTCAGGAATAAAAAAGGCCTTTCTAAGATCGGATGAAGCAGGTTGCTATCACAACATTAAGATTGCCACCTTCAGCAACTTACACAAGAGGGCCTGCGCGTTTGGAGAGCGTTTAATGTTGGGCCTGGAAAGTTTATTCGGTAAAATTAAAATTGCAATTTTTCCACAGAAAAAATGACGGATCTGGTGGAGGAGATTCCATTTTTCCCCACTACTGCTCGACGGACTGCATCAGCGGTTACCGGTCACCTCGCCACCAAGCAGACTCGCCACCAGCGAACTCGCCACCAAGGAACGATCTCGCCACCAACGTACTCGCCACCAAGCGAAGTCTTCTCGCCACCAACCACCAATAAAGAGATAAACTAGAATAAAGTAGTCGAGGAGAGTAGGATGTTCGAACGAGCACAATTCAAATCGGCCGATACGTTTGTGCGCTTGTCTGTATTTAAATTATGACCTTCAGCGACGTGTTAGATGTGTTCCGTTCCTAACTCATTGACATCGAAACGTATCGCGTTTGTCTTTTGCACGTAAGCGAGGAGAAATTGCAAAGCTCGATGCGAGGAATAAAAACTTACTTGAGAGAAAATGAGACTTCATGGAAATAAGTGATGAAATGAAACTCGATAGCAGTTGTATTAAAACTAAACGCGAGAAATTGTCAAGTCGGTGCGAGAAATTGTAAGCGTCGATGGACTGAAGCTTTCCTAAGGCAACTACAGTTGTTTCCCAAGGAGAGTTAACAGTTCGAACCCATCGATTCCTGAGTTTGTTTGCTTATGAACATTTCGACGTCTGTGATGTTATAAGTTCGAATGAATCGACTCGAGAGTTTGTTTACTTATCTGTATGCAAATTTCGACGTCTGTGATGTTGTCAAGGGAACTTATTCAATATTCGGTCGAATTATATTTCCCCGCGGCAAAATAACAACAAACTTTATTGAATATTAAATCTGGAAGAGCAGCTCATATGTTGATCATGACTTTTGCAGATGTGGCGGCTCCTAAAAGAGCCATTTTTAGCGACCTGGAAACGTCCTAAAGACGCAACCAGGGCGCGGTGGCTCCTAAAAGAGCCGTTTTTTGATGTTCCAGGTTCTGCTTCAAAGTTTGAGTACAGACTTATCAGCCGAACATCCTACTGTCCTCGACTAATCTCTTTATTGATGGTTGGTGGCGAGTTCGCTGATGGCGAGTCTGCTTGGTGGCGAGGTGACTGGATACCGCATCAGCAGGAGAAAGCAATGATGGCAACGACGGTAGTTCCTATCAATGCCCTGAACCTGGTTGCGACGAAGATTTTAAGACCCAGGCCGACCTTGACTTCCATATGAACTAGCTAGTTCATCATGTAAGTCCTGTGCCTGCGAGCATGACTTAAAGTCTTTATGACAAAGTGAAGAGGTAGTGGGTTCATCACTTTCAGTCATTGTCATTAGAAGGTGAAAGTTCGACTGAAATGGTTGCAGTGGCCACAGAACCCTTGACAAGTACATCAAAGCTTCCCATGGGATGGGCTCTTCATAAGAGAGGTGCAAGTGAACGGCTTTCGCAAAACGTCAGGCAGTACTTGAAACAGAAATTTAATATCGGATGAGACACTGGCAGAAACCAAACCCAGAGAAGTAGCAAAGGATATGCGAACTGCTTGCACAATAGATGGAGAGAGAATGTTCGATAGAACAGAGTGGTTATCCAACATACAGATTCGGGGTTTCTTCTCGAGATTGTGCCTTAAACAGCGATCTAAAATACAACAAGAATCGGATGATGCCACCGACGCAGACGACCACTAGATAGAAGCATCTGCGTCTGATGTAGACGAAGGGTGTTTGAGAGAGGCGAGGAACACAATAATGGATGAGATAGATTGAAACATCCAATCATGTTTGATATCTATGATGTGTGCTCGTTGGCAAGAGAAGCAAGGTTGTCTAGTCCCAAAGTCAAGATGCTAAGAGACATATGCGAACATTTTGAGCTCGCATTCAAAATGCAAGATACAAATGCAGCACCTCTTGCAAAAATGGAGGAAATGATTTCGGAGTGCAGTTGTCATGCAATCTAGTTATGACGTCCACCCGTTATGCGAATGCGATATCTTTTTTTACAAGAACTCTTCAAACTTATGAACAGAGACTGTTATGCAGACAGTTGTGACGACCAAATATAATTTTTTCCCTTTCAGCGAGAAATCTGAGAAATCGCTGCTTTATTTAGACGTGAGAAGTATTCAGGACAATTACACGATGGAATTACGTGACAGA